TATCACCTATTCTAATACAGTATTAGTACTGTGTATAGCACAAAAACAAAGATTCTTCCTAAGTGAAGGAATGAATATGGACTTTGACATAATCATAAATGCACTGGTTTTTGGCAAAAAAAAAAATTCCCCAAAGTTCTACATTTGTCATTTTTGTATCTGCCATTATATTCATTTTTCAGCTCTCTCAATTCTGAAACCACTGGTTCAGCAAAACAGAAAGAAGGGACAAAGATTGTTCTTAATGGTGTCCTAAGTCCTTCTAGATCAGAAAACACCTGAACACAAATCAAGTAGAAAAAGAGTATAGAAAGGGAGGCTATTGAGTTAACAGTTGAGGGGGATGCTATTTGCAATTATTGGAAATGCAGAGTAATCTAAATTTTTCTGGCCCAACTTCAATCACTTCATCATTACCTTGGATTAACTTTCTGTGTATTATTAGTCAGTGGTTCATAAATTCCATCCTCTTTCAATTTCCTTAGAAAAATTGAGCACAAATAAAACTGGATCAATTCTTGTTCTCTGAACAAAATTCAGTAAAATTTGATGCCTTTTAATTGCTGCTGTATTTGCATTTATTTTCATATCCCGTCAATTTCAACAATGATAACTGGAATTTGATATAGATCAAAAATAAGTCAGGCTTTTCTAACATAATTTTTAAATCTAACTCAACAAGTCTAACATTTAATGGGGCAGTCCACTCTATTTTCAAATTAAAGATTTTTGTTTTGTTTAATTCTGAATTAAAAATAAAATACATAAGAAAACAAAATTTTGGGGAGGTACCAAGGATTGAACTCAGAGGCACTTGACCACTGACCCACATCCCCAGCCCTATTTTGTATTTTATTTCTCTAAAGTCATCAGGATCTCATCTCAGCTTTTGCTGAGGCTAGCTTTGAACTTGCAATCCTCCTGCCTCAGCCTCCTGAGCCACTGGGATTATAGGAGGGCATCCCCATGCCCAACTAAATTAAAGTTTTATGGTTACAACAGCAGGACACGAACAAAAATCTAGAATTCGCACATAAACATTAGTTATGGGTTTCAATTGCTTTGATTTTTAATACTATTTTTAATAACCAGTTTTGTGCATTTTATGTGATGTATGATGATTTTTAAGGTTAATAAAAACAAAATATATATTACCCTCCACATAGACTCAAAATTAAAATCCAAAAGAAAAAAATTTACATTTAAAAACACAAGAGATTTTATTTTTAATTCAGAATTATGACTTTTAATAAGATAGCTTTTTAATTAGTTTACTAGTTTACCTAAGATACATCTCAAGAAATAAGGCAACTAAACCAGACTGCATCCAGATATAAAAATGTAAATGAAAATATATGTATATGAACACTCAAATGCAAAATGCTGTCAAATGAATCAAATGGGAATACAGCAGTACAAGTACATTAGCTATCACAAACCACTCAGAAAAAAAGTGGGGGGGCTTGAAAACTGTGGGGCAGAATATTCCTTGGCATAAGAAAAAGGTCTGTAGTTATGAGACAAGAGGATACATAAGAAAGCAAAATCCCATTGCCAGCAAATTACATAGCTTCAAAAGCACATTCATTCCTTTCTATTTGTGTTTCTCAATATCATTCCACCAACCGTACTTCTTTGCTTTGGGTTTGTCTTTGGAATATTTATATTCATTGGGGAAAACATTTCCAATGTTAAAATAAAAAATATACTAAAAATATTATTTATAACACTTCCACTTGCTTAAACTTGATTTTCTGAAATTATATATAGAAGTATCTTTCCTAATTCTGTCAGTATTGGGTAGATTAAAATAGCAATATGATTTTTATCATCAGGGCATTTTTAATCTCATTACAAAGACAAGCCCTATTTGTATGCAACAAAAGTTTTGGACTGCACCAAAGTGCCAAAAGATGTGATACTAATGTCGATCACATATGGGGAATTCAATCTTGACTGAAGGAGTCTGGAAGTGGTGACTAGGAAGATAAGTAGTTAGGCAGACTAAAGGTAGGGGGAATGTTCCCTTTACCACTTGAACTTTCTTTGCTGTGAAAGTTATTTTCATTATTTTAAAAACTATATTTTTTTTCTTTTCAGCTTCATGGTGGGTCCTGAACAACAACTAGATATTCCTAGACATTTTCTTTATGGTTCCAAGTGCAAAACAAGTGTTGTTATCAAAAGTGTCAATTAGAAAATTTTGTTTGTTAATTTACTGTATATTTTTGTTTACTATATTTAAGTGCACTCTTCTGAAGTATAATCTGTATCATTCGTGTGTATTTTAGCTCAATTTTCAAAATTCTCAGTATGTGATGGTAATTGGTTTGCTACATTGTTACCAACCTAAAGTCATCTAGTGACAAAATCCTAATGTGTGAGAAAAGTATATATAAAGACGTGAAAAGAAATTACAAAGAAAAACCTTTGAAAACATTACTTTTAAAATATTACTTCATAGGACAGATTTTACAAATTGCCCTACACTATAAAGGGTTACATCAATGCTCTAGCCATTTATTTTTTAGTAACATTTTCTTGGTGAAGCTTATTCTTCAATATCATCTACTCTATTCCCAACACATGATCCTATGATTATTCTCTTCACATTACTTAAAAAGTCAGTACACTGGCATAAAACAACCTTGGCTTTAACCTATAGAATCTCTACTTGTGCGTCAGGTTATAAACTGGTTTTTCACGAGTGTATAATTCTGTGATAAGATAGCCAACCAATTAGTAATATAACATGATAGTATCATTTATTAGCTTCATAATTCCCTGTATATAAGTTAAACATTATCAAGCATAGAAGAGTTTTACTTTGGCAAAATCTGACTCGAATTTTATAGCATATTGTTAACTTTTCTTATGAAAAACAGATATTTACATTTAATATCTGTTTTTCATAAAAAAGTTAATATGCCATGAAATTTCAAAATACAGTGCTTTAAAAATAAAATTTTAACTCAAATGAATAGAAAGGAAATATAAAACAAGCACAATAATTTCAGGGCAGAATTTCCACACTGAAACTATGAATCTTACACTGCCTTCTCTACAAAAGCTTAGAAATTAAATCTTTTTAGTAAAAAAAAAAATCTCCTATTCTGATCATAAGTCCAGCTTAAAAATGCAATACAAAAAATGTAAAAAAAATTTAATGTAAAAATGCAATACAACTAGAAATGAATTATATTATTTTTAGTCCAAATTCCTTTGAAATCCTGGGCCTTCAGGGAAAGAAGCTGTAAGGTAAATTTTCCTATTTTTTTTTAATTGTTGAAAAAAAAAGAAAAAGAGTGAATTAAAATTAAAATTTTATTTCATAAATATAAAATTTGACTAGAATGCATGCATGTGCACACGTGTGTGTGTCTGTCTGTCTGTCTCTGGTCATTTCTTTTTTCTGATCAGTTTTAAAGATGACAAGCACTAGGAAACAACACCTGACTCAACTCTTTTAATAAATATACAAAGCAGAGAACAACATTAATGGAGATGTACAATGATTATTCAAACAAGTTATACATATGTACAAAGGCAATAATAAAACAGTCTTTGTGCTCTTACTCTGATTATATGTAGTAAGAAAGGATCAAGACTTTGAAACTTAAGGGACTTCTGACATACAAACTCTTCTTGAAAATGTTTGTTTTAAATGGTTTCAAAAATACAATTAATAACAAATCAAAACATTGCTTTGGTTGGTCCATTTCAGTATCCAACTCAAAAAGCATATCAAGTCTTTTGGGTTTGAGGCAGTTTCCAAAGTAGCTTGGTAAGTATGACTAAAAAGGATTCTGCCTGATACTAGTGCTAAGTAGAAAGACTCTGTAGATTGCAAATTGGAATACATTCTACCAGCTTTTTAAAACTAGAATGTAAAGGACTTGAGAATAGGAAAATAATAAAGCAAACCAATTAATTATATGGTAATTCTGACCCCAGTTTTTAGACGTACATTTTTCTATGTTTGTCAGCGTGTAAATATGTGTATGGGTGTGAGTGTGTATGTGTGTTCACATACACATATGTACTGGACCTATATATAGTATAAAAGGAAATAGTAGGGCAAAACACAAATAAAAAAAAACTGGGCCCTAAGAATAAATATCTCATTTAAAAGTAAGCAATATATTTATGGTTAATGAAGGGTATTTTGTTCCTATTTAAAAAACAATCCATTTTCTGGGGAACAAAATAATGAAAAAGAGGGTACTGAAAGAGCAAGATGGGAAACCTACCTATGGACTAAAAGTTGAATCTGAATAAACAAGCCCAAAAACCACTAAAGAAAAGGTTCTGGTTTTAGGAGTTCACATTTAGAGAAAGATAAATTTTCTGCCAAATGATAGCCTTAAACATCAACAGACCCAGGGATCTGAGAAAATAGGCGTAAGGAAAGTTTATACTTACCTTTAGATCAGCAAATTTTTTGACACTATGCTGGGAGAAACTTTTTTTTTTTTTAATAACAGTAACATCCAGAATGGAAAAACTGCAGAAGGCTTATTAAAAGTTCAAACTCCCAAATTCTGTATCCATATATGTTCATATTATAAGAAATTATAGAATTGAAACTTAATGCACCTCAATTATTTTCAAATGCCTAAATTTTTCTTCTTTTGGAAATAAAAGTATCAGTTTTATTTTGTAATTGCTCAACTTCCACTGTTCACATGGCCAAAACAGTAGCAGCTATTTTTCAACCTCAGTTTCATTCACTACCACTGTTTTTAAACTGTCAATCTCTGCTAGTAATTACGAATCTAAGACAATGTTATTATCAAAAACCTAGACATCAATCATATATTTGAAAAGAAATGTCTATTAAAAAAATTCTCCCTCCTGTCATTGACAACCATATATTGCCCACCCCAAATCATTCTAGGCCTTTGGAGAGAATGTAATGCTCTGTTTAAGCGCTGGTAGGAAATCAGTGCAAAACAGAACAAAAGCAACTTTTAAAGCAACAAGAAATTATGTACCATATATACATCGTAGCAAATACTTTATATTTGAGAATCTTTACAGCTTACATTTCCATTCCATTATTACAAGTGATGAAAAACAAAAAATTGCAAGTAGCATGCAAATTATACAGTCTTCCCACTTCACTAACCAAATTCCTACTTTCCAGTGTTATTTCCCAATTTTTGCAGGAAACGTCCTGCAAAGCTGAAACTGATTAGAAAATTCTTTATAGATTAAAATATCTCTTTTTCATTTTAGGAGAAGCCAAATAGCCAACCATCAAAATTAAAAATAAATTGAATTGTCACAGTCCATTACAGTTATTGTTACTAGATCCACTTCATTTTCAGGTGTCCAAAATATAAAACGAATAATTCTTTATCTTCATATTCATCTGTTCTTAAAATGCTACTTAAAACTTTGGTTGTTTTCCTGTAATATAGAAGAAAGAGTTAAATCATCAACTAGATTAACTTAATAGTTTTTACAAATTAGTTTATCAAACCAAATACTGTGAATCCACTTATGTGTTTACAGATCTAAATGCATGTTACTATAGAAACTATTAAGGTAACTGAAATTGTCAAATAAAATAGTTCTGTTTCACTAAACCTATGTAATTCATTTTTAAATATATTAAACTGAATTACAAATCTGTTATTGGGTTTCTGTAGTAGTTTTATAAATGTTATTAATGCATAAATGAAAACTTTATTCTAATGTATGTTTGTTCATAAGAAAGTGTAAGTCAAACTTTTATTTATAAAATAAAAGTGTTATTAAATTGGAAAGTCTGAAAATGAAAAAGTTATTTTATATAGCACTGTGTTTATGTTTATTCTTATGGACCAAGGATTATATGAATAGCTGAGGAGACTCAAATATCATCAACTACGTTTTTCCTCATTAAACATTCCTTTGTGAGCAATATTATTAAAAATATTTACTAATTTGTAACTCTGTGATGGAGCACTTGCCTCACATGTATGAGGCACTGGGTTTGATCCTCAGCACCACATAAAAATAAATAAAATAAAGGTATTCTGTCCATTTATAACAAAATAATTTTTTTAAATTTACTGACTGAATTAATTTTAATAGAAAGAGGTCTCTATTATGGAGTTTAAATTACAAAATATTAATTAAAAACTATGACAATATAAAACTTTAAAAATATTTTTACTGAGGAGATAAAAACTATGGTTTCCAAGGGTTAGTATCCTCAAAATGGAAACAGAAGGTAGTACTGTCTCATATTTGAGCCATTATCAGTACACCTATATTGTGAGTCTAATCAGGACAGAATCATAGTTGCCCTTACCTGTATAAAATAGTTGTCTATAAGAACATTTTTTAAAAGGTCAAATTTCAGTCAAACATCAGTAGAGACTATAATGGGTAGAAATCATTTACTGATCACATAATGAGAGGTCTCATACTAAGCCCACTCACACTTAAATTCTAACTAGGAGGGGTTGACATCTTTATCTGTAATTGCAAAATCGTGGCTCAAGAAGATTAAGCGACTTGTCCAAGTTTGAACTTCCAGTACACAGAGTGGAGATACAATCTGAACCTACAGATGATGCCAAGTCCTTTCTAATAAATATCCTAAAAGATGTATATTTATTGCATATATTTATTCTGATGGAATTTGGTACGTTACATAGAAATATAAAGAGCTAAGAACAGCAAAGACACATTGAAAAAAAAACTGGTATGACTTTTTTTCCCACATTAAAAACTGATCAACAGACTAGAAAGTCTGCAAAGAGACCATGCATATATTGCCATATTGGTGTCAAAAGACTATCCTTTCAATAAAAATTGCCAGAATGACTGGATATCCAAAGAGGGGGAAAAAAAGTAAAGACTTGACCCTCCCACCTCATATCATACAGTGAATTATAGAACTTAATTGAAAACCAAAATAGAACTTTAAGAATATAGAATGATATTTTCATGACCTTTCAACAGAAAAATAGTTCACTAACAAAATGTAATCATTCCATTCTAGTTCTTGAGTACAATGATATTTATTTTACATTGTACATTTAGATTTTTTTATGTTTTGCTGGACCACTAATATTTTGCCATAAAAAAAGGTAAAAATCTACAGATACAGTAAAATGAAAATGTTAAAGACAAATATTTGGAATACAATATTACAATATAAAATCAGGAAACTACATACTGGTTTTTGAAGTACAATGGGATGATCAGGCAGAAAGTCTGGTTTTTTCCTGCAGATGGAAACACTTGAGAGCTTCAACAGGAAATCTCTGCTGTATTTAATTCTCTCTGTAGATATTAAACATTAAATGTAATGTTGTAAAAAATAAAACTCTTCTAGATCACTAATTTGCTCATTTCTTTCTAATTTTCCCTGAACTATCCATTATTTTATAAAATCATGAATAGCATCTATGCAAAAGAGAAGGAGAAAGGTTTGAAAAGCACCTGCCACATCTAATTTCCCTTTTACTTAGAAAGGAAGCCAAGTAATTAAGGAAGAAAAGGAAGAAATAGAATTGTTTGAGTAAATTGGTAATGTAGGACTTTTTTCAAATGGTTACTCAAAGTCTAGTAAAATGATCGGGTACTATAAAGCCCAACAGCAATAACATCCATTGGTCAATTTCGATCCTGCCAAAATGGAACCTTAATGAACCTATATAATCTCAATTGACACTAAAAATAATTTTCATCATATTATTATTTTTCTTGTTAAATTTTATTAAAATATGTGTTACTAATGAAAGCAAAAATTCTAACATGGTCAGGTATGGTTTTCAAAGTACAGAGATATACAGTGTGGGGAACTAAAGTGATTTGCAGATGGTTACAAGGTTGCACCATCACCAATATGCTAGAAATTGTACAATATTAATCATAAGTAGAAAGATTAGATGCTATATATTACACAGATGCTATGTTATAAACCCTAGATTATAAAACTGAAAAAGATTAATCACTTAAAAAGAAGGCAGGAAAGAAGAAAAGGAAAACTACCATTTAAAAGTCAGAAAATATCAACAAAAACAAATAATAAGGTACTAGGCCTAAATCCAACTCTATCAGCAATCATGTTTCAAATGTTAATGGTCTAAGTCAGAGGTCAGACAAAATATATTTTAGAATATGGGGGCCATATAATCTGTCACAACTTCCATTCTGTCTTTTAGTACAAAAGCAGCCGTAGATAACATACCTGAAAAGTGTGGCTCTGTTTCAACAAAATTTTATTTACACAAACAGCCACTTGGTCTGTAAGCCAGAGTTTTCTGAACCCTACCATTAACTATTGCATTGTAGGCTTCAGGTTAGCAGAGTGGATGAAAAAAAGAAGACCCTACTGTATACTGTCTGCAAGAGACACACATTAGATATAAAGGCACATTTTGATTGAAAGTGTATGTAAAAAAACAATGCAAAGACTAAGAATAACAAGGCAGGAGTGACAAATATCAGACAAAGAGATCATTACAACCTGTTGTGCCAATAACAGTTTTGAAATATGTAAAGCAAAAATTAAAAAAAATAAAAGGGGAAGAATTTCACACTAATATCAATTAATATAAAACCCCTCCCCTTCAGCAGTTTATAGAACTAGACACAAAAAAATGGTAAAAAGATAAATATGAAAAACACTATCAACCACTTTCATGTAAAGAAACTATACCAACAAATGCAAAATTCAAGCTCTTTCCAAGTACACACGGTACAGTCAACAGATTATATGCCAGGACATAATACAAGTCTCAGTAAATTTAAGAGGCTCGATCTATATATATAGTCTATAACAGACTATATTCTCTGAAAACAAAATTGAATTAGAAATCAATAATAACAAGATATTTAGAAACAAATAACTTGTAAACTAAATTGTACATTTCAAAAAAATCATTAGAAAATGACAAGGAAATTTAAAGCGATTTTAAACTGAATGACAATTTAAATACACCATGTCAAAATTTGTGGAAAACAGTTACAATGCGACTTTAAGGGAAACAAATTCTTATTAAGTGTCTTAGTCCATTTTGCATTGATACAGCAGAATATCTGATGCTGGGTAACACAGAAAGAAAAACATTTACTTGGCTCATAATTCCTGTGGTTGGAAAGTCCAAATAGCATGGTGTCTAGCATGGGCTCCCTGGCTGCATTAGAAGATGACAGGTAGCATCATCAAATAGCCAGAACACATACATTAGAGGGATGTGCAGGATACATGACAGACACTTTTCCAATCTACTGTCTTGAGTACTAATCTAGTGCCACAGGAGCTAGAAGTCCAGAGAGATATCATTAACACATCTTAAAACCTACTCACCCCTCTTAAAGGCTCTACCACTTCAATACTATCAAACTGGGAAATTAAGTCTCAACAGGAATTTTGAGAGGGAAAAAACACATTTGCGCTATGTTAGGCTGTAAGACAGACTCAATAAATTTAAAAAAATTGAAATTAGGGGCTGGGGATGTAGTTCATTGGCAGAGTGCTTGCCTAGCATGAGTGAGGCACTGGGTTCAAGTCTCAGCACCACATATAAATAAATGAATAAAATAAAGGTCTGTCAACATCTAAAAAAATACATTTAAAAAAGATTGAAATTATATAAAATATCTTCTATAACCAAAATGAAATGAAATTAGTTAACAGTTTATAGAAGTAAAACTGGGAAAATAGAAAATTATGTGGATATTTAAACATCCTCTTACAACCAATGGATTAAAGAATAAATAATAGAGAACTTAGAAAATACTTCAGACATACAAAAACAGTCATAATACATATATGTATGGGATACAGACAAAACAGTGCTCATAGCTAAGTTCATAGCTACACATGCTTACACTGAAAAGAGAAAGTATGTCAAAGCAATTTCTAATATTATATATTAAAATACTAGAAAAAGAAAAGCAAAGTCAAGCAGAAGCTAGAAGAACACAGGAAATAATAAAGATGAGAGTGGAGATAAATGTAGTTTGGAGAAAAGGTTAACAGGGGGAAAAATAAACAAAACCAATAGTTATTTGAAAAGATAAAAACTGTCAAACCTTTACCTAGTCTGATTAAGACAAAAAAAGAGATGAATCAATTATTAAAATCACGAACAATGATAATCAACTCTACAACTCTGTTGAATTAATTTATTAGCTGATAACGAATATTCCTTAGGATTTTCTATATTTAGGATTTTATTATATATGAGTAGAAATAATTTCACTTCAATCTTTCTAATTTAAATGTCTTTTAATTCTTTTTATTGCTTAATTGTTTCTGGATTATGTTAAATAAAAAATGGTAAAAGTGGGCATCCTTCCTTTATTCTTGATATTAGAAAGTAGACTTCAGTCTTTCACCATTGAGCATATTAGTGTTAGGTTTTCATATATACCTTGCATTGTATTTAGAAAGTTCCCATCTGTTCCCTGCTTGTGAACCTCTACTCTTCACTTGCTAAGAAGTTTTATCTGGAAAAGGGTGCTGGATTTCATAAATGCTTTTCTGCATCAACAGAGATGAATGCATTTTTCCTCCTGCATTCTGTTGATATGGTATATTACTATTAATTTGCATGTTGACCCACCTTGCATTCCTGAGAATAATCCCACTCGGTCACGCTGTATTATCTTTTTACTATGTTGGTAATTTTTATTTGCTACTATTTTGCTGATGATTTTTGTATATATATATTTTTTTCAAAGGGTTATTATCTGTAGTTTCTCTTTTATGCTCTGGTATCAGGATAATACTGGCCTCACAGGATAAATGGGAAGTGTTTCTTCCTCTTCAATTTTTTGAGAAAAGTTTGAGAAGGATTAATGTTAACTCTTCTATAAATATTTAGCAGAATTCACAATATAGTCATCTGGTCCTGGACTATTCTATATTGGGAGGTTTTTAATTACTGATTTAATCATCCAACTTGCTATAGGTTTATTTAGATTTTCTATTTATTCTTGAGTTTTGTAACTTTTTTAATAATTTTTTTCTACTACTTTTTTCTTTTTCTTCTAGATTACCCAACTTTTTGGCACATGCTATGGTTAAGATATGTTTCCTTCCGAAGTTCTTATGTTAAAGAACAACAATGATACTTCAGGGTAGCACTATTTCAGGGCAGTATTACTAGGAGGTGGTAGAAACTTTAGAAGGTCCTTGGGAGAGGCATGTTCCGAAAGAGGATTATGCTACGCTGGCCTCTCTTCCTTTTCCTCTTTTTCTCCCTGATCATGAAGTGAGCAGTTTACTCCATTGAATGTTGTCCAATACTGTCATCTGGCACCCCCAATAGTCCAAACACAACAAGGCCAAATAATTATGGATTAGAACACCCCCCCATACACAAACTATAAATAAACATGTTTTCTTTATAGGATTATCTCAGTTACTTTGTTATAATGATAGGGTGCTGACTAATACAGCATACAATGAAAAGTTAATATTCTTATATTTTTATTTCCATAAATTTATAGCAATATCCCCAAGTAAAATAAGTTTATATTACATTATCAGTGAACAATCCCCCACCCATCAAATTCCATTTGTAACAGCTTCAAAAACATATTGACTATAATACTTAGGGATAAATTTAATCAAGGAGATATGAGGCTCATACACTAAAAACTGTAAAACTTTACTAAGAAGTCAAAGAACTAAATAAAAACACATCTGTTTTGTGTAATGTAAAATGTTAATACTGTTAAGATGGGAACATTTCTCCCAAAGTAATCTATAGGTTCAATGCCATACCTATATCAAGATGACATGGCCTATTTCACAAATAGAAAAGCTAATCCTAAAAATTTACATGGAATTGCAAAAAATGCCAAATGACCAAAACAAACTTGAACAAAGCTGGAGGACTTTTGTATTTTCTAATATCAAAATCTACCACAAGGCTACAATAATTAAAACAGTACTAGCACAATGGCAGATATATAGAACAAGGGAACAGAATTGAAAGCTCAGGAATAAACACCTATTCCAATGCCAACAGGTTTTTCAACAAAGGTTCCAAACCACTCAATGCAAAAAGAAAAGTATCTTTAACAAGTGGTCATAGGACTACTGTGTATCCACATAAAAGAGGCTGCACTTATTCTCTCTGAGGATATATAAAAATTAATTCAAAGTGTATCAAGACCTAAGCATGAGATCTAAAAAAAATCTATAAAACTCTAAGAAGGAAATAGGTCTTCCTGACTTGAGATTTTTCAATAATTTCTTAGATATGACATTAAAAATATAAGCAACAAAAGAATAAAAATAGATAAATCAGGCTTCATCAAAGTTTAAAAATGTTGTATATTAAAAGACAGTATGAAGAAAGGAATGAGTTCCAATACAGAAGAAAAATCTACAAATCTTTATGTGATTAGTATTCAGAATGAATATATTGCACACAGGGCTGGGGGGCATAGGGGATATAGGTATCAGGGAGAGGGAGGAAGAGAGAAGAAAAGATAATAGTCTAATGTCAAGAACCCTTAGAAATCAGTGAAAAATGACAAAAAACCTTTGACAAATTAAAATACTGTCAAAGGACTTTAAAAGACCTTTATTCCACAGATGAAATACAAGTGCCAATAAACACATGAAATTACATCCAATATCATCAATTACTAAAGAAATGAAAATCAAAAACCACAATGAGATATACCCTCCTTACCGCAAAAGGGATGGCAAAAATTTTAAAAAGAGAAAACAATAATGTAAAGAAATTAGAAGTCTAGTATTGTGTTTGCTGGATATAGAAACTACATAGCCATTGTCGAAAATATTTTAACAGTGCCTCAAAAAGTTAAACACAAAATTACCATATGATTTAGTAAGTCTGTTTCTAGATACATACCCCAAATAAAAACTGTTATCAAACAAAAACTTGTACACAAATGTTCATAGTGAAAACAACCCAAATATTCATCAACTGAGTAACAAACAAAATGTAATATAATTCATACAATGGAATATTGTTCAGTCAAAAAAAAAGGAATGCTGAACTACATGGTATAACATGGATAACCTTGAAATTTTTATAGAAGTAAAAGAAGCTAGATGCAATGGCCCCAGTTTGTATAATTCTCTTTGTATGAGCCCACAATAAGTTAATCTAGAGACAGAAATGAATAGTGTTTGTCAGTACCTAGGCAAAGCAGAGTCAGGAGTAATTGCTTAATGGGAATGAGGTGTTTTGTTTTGTTTTGAGAATGGTAAAAATCCTAGAATTAGACAGCAGTGATAGTTGCATATTGTAAATGTGTCAAAAGTCACTGAATTGAACATTTTATATGGTTAAAATGGCAAATTTTACTTCAATTTAACAAAAAGGAAAAAGAAAATATTTATACAGGTATATCCCAAGACAATAGTAAAGGTCTATTCTACAACTACTACAAAGCATTATTGCAGTATAGATACTCCATACTGGAACAGAATAATGGAGAATTTTATAAGAAAATGTTCCCTCTAGAGGAAAAAGAAGAACTGATAAACTTCAGCACAAATATTATAGAAAAGTGAGAGAGTTGTTGGAGCATTTGAAGAAAAAAGTTAGCAATAGCAAATGTTAACTCTAGAAAAAAATTAAGGCTTCCATAAGAAAAGAGATATGCAGTTGGTGGCTAAACAACTGAATTTACATAGTTACAATAATATAAAGAACTTTAACTAAAACTTTAACTAAAACTTTGAAATATCTATATAGTGGGGAGGGGGAATGGAAGGATGAAGAAGTAAAAGGGTTGGTATGGAAGACCTAAGTTCTCATTTATGAAGATCTGACATCACTATACAATATCAAAAATGGAGAAATTTGGAAATAACAATTTTAAAAGTTTCATTTAGAAATTCAGAAGTAAATACTATAAATGAAATCTAATAGAACCTTTCTCATACTTTTTATTTTTTTCCTATCTGTTTTGTTGCTAGGCACAGCATTACTGAACATAGAAATGGGATATAAGGAGAAGTAATACATGTAATTTCTGGGCTGCACTCTTAAGGAAAACTTCCTTCCCCTTTTCTCCTTCCGGATGACTAGAAAGGAAACACAAGGTTGGGAGCAGATGCAGTTACCTTGGACAAAGCAAAGGAAGCCACTTGTTGAGGATGGCATAGAAATAAGAGAACACTGGGGCAGAAGTTACTCAACAGAGCAGAGCCTATACACCAGCTTGCAATTTTACAGGATAGATCAAATAAATTTCCATCTTGTTTAAGCCATTGTTATTCTGGTCTCCTTCTGGGCTGTAAAACCAATAGCCTAATATAGACAGATCAACTTGAAAAAATATAACAAAATTTTTTATATACATAGGTATATACAGGTCTTCAAAAAGTAGTGTCAGCTTTAATGAATATTAAGATAGTCTATGATAAAATGTAAGAATTATGGTAAAATTTTACCTTTCTTAACTGGAGACTGATGTTGCTGCTGTTCATTAAGACCTTGAGAAAAGGCTTGCATTCCATTCGTCTTACACTGTTGAACAAGAAGTACAATCATTTTTTAAACTTATATAATCTGTTTTACCACTCCAAAATGTTTTCCTAATAATCAAAATATTCATTGAGGAATATCTGGAAGCAAAGAATAGGCAACTACTATAGATTTACTTAATAAAAATGAATAACAAAAACATCTTTCAAAATATATTTAACAATTTTTGCTATAATCTTGGTTATTTTTGAAAGGTAGATCAAAGATGAATTATGAAGTCATAAATAGTTCCAAAGATATTACAATATTTTAATTGATGGAAAAAACACATTGTTATTCACAAAACCCTGCAAAACTACTAGAATGTTTACTCTTTTGATCTCATGCGAAAGAGATGCCTATGTCAGTTTATAAGCACATGAACTGTTTCCTATAACACCTTGGAAATAGGGGAAATAAAAACTGGTTCATTCATTGAAGAAAAGAAAATCATATGCTAGACACAGGGATACACAACTGTAATCCCAGCAGTTGGGGAGACTGAGACAGGAGGCTTGGAGGTTCAAAGCCAGCCTCAACAACAGTAAGACACTAAACAACTTAGTGAGAACCTGTCTTTAAATAAAATACAAAACAGGGCTGGGGATGTGGTTCAGTGGTTGAATGTCCCTGAGTTCAATCCCCAGTACCAAAAAAAAAAAAAAACCAACAACAACAACAAAAAAACAGAAACACTGTCCTGAGGGGAGAGAGGCCTAAATCCAGTGTTTCCTGGCTGTACTTAAAATACTATCTTCATTGTGAGATTGGCTAAATTAATTGATTGAGATTTGAAAGATTCATTTTTAACTGCTGTTTTTCTGATTACATGTCCATTAAGAAACATTCTGATTTACAATTTATCTTCCTGTAATTCTAACTAGAAGCAAGTTATAACAAAAAGAGATTGCTCTCAGAAGACAAAACAAGATTGCTCATTGTAAAATAAATAGTTCTCTTCTTATAAACCAGTTTCAAAACCATAGTCAACACAATCCTATCCCTAAAAGATGACCTCCTCGTGTACTGCAAAAATCAGTTTACAAATAGTCCCTAACTATGATAATTCACTAAGGTGATTTCTTTAGAGACATCTATACTGAAAAATGAACATCTTTGCTCTAATTACTCTCTTGACAAGTTATAAACTATTCCTTGCTACCTAAGGAGCTCTGCCTAAAAGCAGGACTAATTATCTATCCCTATGACAAAACAAAAACTAAGAAGATAATTCTCCATCACTAAGACATCAAATTAAGTAATCAGAAAAAAAAGAAAACATTAGCAGGTTTTTAAATTTATTTTTAAACAGAGATGGGAAAAATAGGAAATGCCAGAGATTTAGGTTCCCCAAAGTTATTTCTGACTCTCAAATATAATTAACTCTAATAGGACATTTTTATGCATGAAAAATTTCATACATCTGAAAATTTTAGCAGATGAACATTTCACTAACTTTATAATATTTACTCAAATTTAAGACCTAAAATCAAACTCAAAGGTAAAAACTATTTTGTCATGTTTGCACACATTAAAAAATGAAAATACTGATCATTCAAAATCTTTCACAGCAAGTAAAAGAGTAAATTTAAAAAACTTTTATAAAGTAATTATATGTTATCTTGGTTAATTATCATAATGATTATGTAATTATCATGTAAGTGATAAGGAAAATATGATTGCCATTTACAGGCAAGACAAGTAAATACAAAAACGGTCTGGTAACCAACCTAAAACATACATATAAAAAAGATTTGAGCTAGGTTTTTAAACTTGAGACTACCACGTGTAGGTGGTACATCTAAAAGGGTACCTTTCACAGCACTGATGTAGACTTTTTAGCAGGTGGGAACAAACTATCATATTCTAAGAAAATCTGCATTTTTCTAAAATTTTTGTACTTGCTCTAGTTCTTGCACTGTACATACCAAATGGGTAGCAATGGCCCTGATGAATACATTTATTTAACACAGAGGGCCTATGACATAAGGCACACTATTCTTTGTATTGGAAATAACAAAAATAAACATGACTTTCTAGTGTACGTTCTCAAAGACTCACAAACTCATACACAAAGAAAATTACTCTTTCACAGAACAGATTCCTCACAAAGAAAATATTTGCTGCGCATATAAGAACAATAAAATAAATTAAGAATAAAGCAACACAAGAAAAATGGGCGAATAAAATGAACTGGTAATTCACACAAAAAAATAAATCTAAATGGTCAAATTAAATGAATGATTTCTCACCCACTGAACAAAGAAAAAATGTTAAGTCTGACAATAACAAAGTAAGGGTATGGAATAATCAGAGAAGAGCTCTCATGTTCTGCACCCACAAACCACTTTTAGAGTAATTTGGAATATCTAATGAAGGTAGAACACTTAACACAGTAATTCTCTAGTTTTACACAAGGAATCTCACAAACTTGTATGAAAATGAAACATGTTGATGGATAATCACTATTATTTATTGTAAAATAGAAACAAATGCCTTTCAACAGAAAATGAAAATAAGGTGACATTCTCCATGCATTAAAATATTTTTCTATATCAGCAAATATAGAACTGGTCTTTTTTCATTGTAAAGTTGCTTAGTATTCTATTTATGAATATACTAATTCTTGTACATGCACATTTTATTTATGGTAGTATCTGGATAAAAATGGTTACTTATGGTCAGAGGAAACAGGTGACATGGGGATAGAGACTAGAGGAAAACTTTTCACTAATATCATTTTGTATATTTTCAATTTTACACTTCATAACTTTTTTACTTAGTCAAAACATTAAAATTTTTAATATAAACTAATGGGAAAGGAAAACCTGCAAAACCAAACATGGGTACAATATTATTCAGATAAAAGTATTAAACAAAACAAAGAAAAAGTCCAAATATATTCATGAAAAAAAAAAACTAAGGACAGTTATTTCTGGGAAGGATGAGAAGGAAATGAGATAGTGAAAGATATACAATGTGTTTTAAAACTATGTTAGATTGTTCTCTAAAAATTTTTAAAAACAAATGCAACAAAAATGTTTACATTTGAAGACTACAGGTGATAGGTAAAAGGATGATATATTATTTTGAGCATATATTTGAAACATATCAGAGCTTTTCACAAATATATAAAACACCTTGTACAGAATCTGACATAACAGCCATCTAAAAGTGTTACTTTTCAGTCTACAATGCTTAATTTTATTCTGTATGTGTGTGCACACGCTCACACACACATTGGGGATTGAACCCAGAGCTTCATGCATATTAAGCATGTGCTCCACCACTGAGCTACATTCCCAGGCTCATGTTTATTAAAATTTCTTAAGACTTACTCTGCTAACTCCACTTTGTAAGCACTGAGTGTTGCATGGATATTCATTTTGAAAGTTGAAAGGAAACACTGGTCCTGTCAGGAGAGGAAAAAAAACTATTTTAAATAACCATGATGCCAATAAATAACATAACATCACCTAAAACGCTTAAGTATCTATGATAACTTCAGGACTATCTTAAAATGTTTTCTGATAGTTCATCTATTCAACAAATATTTATTTAACCCTATGAAGTGTCAGCCTCTGTTTTAGTGGATAGGTATGCAAGTATGAAAAGGTTTTAAAGATAAAAGGCCTCACTTTAAAAAATAAACTCATAAATAAATAATGATTATAATTTGATATATGGTAAGTTATGTGATATTTAGAAAAGGTACTGGGGGGAGAGCAGAGTTGGTTTGCAGTTATCAGGAAGGCTTATCAAAAGGATATAATTCAATATAAGTCTTGCAGAAAAAGTACAAGATTTCCCTGGGGACCTGAGTTGTTCAGGGAGTAGGGAAGTGTGTTGAGAAAGGTGAAACAATTTCTAATTTACTGAATTTTCTATTTAATAATCCCCTAATTTCACTGACTGAAATTAAAAGGATTATAGTTAAATGAGAGATCAGGGGTACCTGCCCATTCCATGTCCCTTCACATTCACCTATGTAACAGCCTTGGAGGGAAGAGATTGGTGACCTAGATCTGCAGAGATGGAGAGAGGAGTGCTGGAGAAATTGGTGACAGAAAGGAGGTACTGCCAATGGTGTTATGCCTTCTTTCCTTTAAGGTAAAACCTGAGATTTGACCTTATACAACTGCGTTTAGTGCACTAGAAGGACATAGGTTCAGCATTTTGAAGCTATGGTCCAAGAAAAACATTAATTTCATTTGTCCATCCTGAATCACAACTACATTAAGAGGAAATCAAGTAAAATGAAGATAATCTGCCTTTTAGGAACCAAGGATGAGAAAATGAACAAGAGACAAGAACTGGTTCTATTTCTACTTTTTCTGCTTCATTTTTGTATTGATGAAAAGGAGTTATATTTTTTTCTTTGCTAAGTTGTTAGTTAATTCAGTTGAAACATATGGACTAATGAGAATTCAAACAGATTATATTTATATTACCTAGGTTAGAATATAGAAGCCATTCTAGCAAAAAAATAATGAATAAAATAAAAATGTTAATATTCCAACTTAGTAAATATCAAATATTTCAAGAATTTGAAAGAGCATTTCAAAATAGTATTTTTTAAAGGGCAAAAGAACATTTTAATTTTAGATTGTTGTTTGGTTTAGATTTTCTGAAATTAGGTATATTTCAACTCAAGCACAGTCATAACTTCTATTAGAGTACAAGTATGAAATGACTAAACAATCTGTGTTATGTTAAATTTTTCTGGGCTTATTTTTATTTGTTTTGTACATAGATATATCTTTCAAAAAGTTAATTCTTCAGTGTGACCACTCTGCATGGTAATAATCACAGGGCACAATTTGTAAGTCAGTTAACTATGAAAATGAGACAGGAGGGAAAAAAAAATCACACAGTTACTTTCAATAAAGACTACTACTTTTCCTATCCTTTTTAGTCTGGTAGACTGTGGACAGGTAGATTAAGAATCTTTTTCTTTTGTTAATACTTGTAAACTCCTCAAACAGAGATCATCAGTTTTTATTATTTCTTTAAATATCCATGTCAAGCAATTATTTTACATATTATTTAGTCTTTTAAACATTAATCAGGCATTAACAAACTACTATTTAATGAACTGTTCACTATGTACGTCACCTGGTGGAGAAGTCAGATGACGAACAGGTCTTGCTGGTTGAAGCGGCTTACCAATCAACTTTTTGGTTTCCATTGTCACAAAGACCTTGAGGTTCCATACTTTAAGAGGAGAAAAACAAATTTTTATTATTTGGACAATATACTCAAGATGTTTTACATATATAAAAATAACCAAAACCCTCATTTGAAGATCTTTTTTAGAAGTGGGAAATACGAACCCAAAAATGCATTTAAGATGATATGCAGCAGTTGAACATTCCCTCTTTAAAACATTTTCCTCGCTTAACTTCTCTTAGATCTATCATTTGGGGCTATTTCCTATCTATCTGATTGCCACTTCTGTTCTCCAATTAAATGTAGGAACATGACTAAATTTGGCTTTTCTTACCTCATCTCATCTATTTTCATAGTTGTATCTACCTATGTATATGATAAACATGATCTAATGAATACTTTCACCATCTGCCGCTCGGGTTTTGGCTCCATTTTTCCAACTGCCTCATGCTATTTCAATTTATTAGCAATAGGCACTTCAAATTGAAAACATCCAAAATCAAGTTATTTTGACCCTAAATATGCCCCTTCTCCTATATTTATTGAATTTATCTTCAAGTCTCTTAGGTTACCCTTTATAAAGATACACACCTTCAATGTGACAGTCTAAATCACAGTTCCGATTCCATAATTCTCTGACATCTGTCCATTTTATTTCCAAAATATATCTCACACATTTTCTTCATGTCCATGTCTATTCTCTCCGTTTTCCTAGAGGTGCTTAACCACTCACTTACCCATATCCCCAGCTTTCTTTATTTTTTGAGTCAGGGCCTCACTAAGTTGCTGAAGGTGGCTTTGAACTTACCCATCCTCCTGCTTTAGCCTCCCCAGCTGCTGAGATTACAGGCATGCACCACTGCACCTGGTTCCACATCTACTTTCTTAATTCCACAGTAGTTCTTAATTCATCTTTTTGATCACCTTTTAAATGGATTTATTGAAATGCTTCCACTCTTAAGACCCATCTTAACACCCATTTTAAGACCCATCCACATCAAAACACTTAGAGAACACTCTACTATTCTTTGTTTTGTTTTCCATGTTAAATAAAAGTAAAAAGGAGATTTATCTTAAAGTGAGAAACAATATTTACCCTGTGCCCCTGCAATTAACACAGTACCTAGACTTGAGTCCACAATAGGAATAAACAAGTGTTCCCTGAACAAATGGGTAAATATAGAATTTTTTCTCTTTAAACCATGACCTCTTCATGCATATTCTTGCTTTGAAAACTCAGTTCACCAATATCTCCTGGATTATTAATAACAGAAACAGGTAATAGCCCCAGGAAAGTATGTACAATAAACCATTTACTCAGAACAGCTCTATAAACTAGGCACTCTTAACAGAGGTCAGGTTTCATGTCAGCCCTACCTGGGTTCATAATATGGCTCTATCACCTAATTATATAACTATAGATAACATATAGATAGTCTCCCCTAGGCTTGATGTGAAGGCTAATTAATATTGTATAGTTTGAATATGAAGTGTTTTCCCAAAGCTCCTATGAACTTCAAGAATAGTCAAAGGTAAAATGATTAGAGAGTTATAACTTAATCAGTTTTGTTCTAGTTTGAATGGACTAAGTGTTAACTGTAGGCAGGTGGAGCATGGCTGGAGGAGGTGGATCACTGGGGTTTTACCCTGAAAGGATTCATTTGCTCTGCAGGATCCTTCCTTTCTCTGTCTCTGCTTCCGGACCCTGCTGAGAGCTGAGCAGCTTTTCTCCCCTAGACCCTTCCCCCATAATGCCCCAGGTGAAGCCTAGAGCAATGGAGTCTATGTAATCTATGAACTCAAACCATGAGCCCCAAATAAACTTTCCCTCCTCTAAATTGTTTACGTTGGGTATTTTGGTCACATCGATGAAAAACTGAAACACATATAACAAAAAGCAATTAATACAACACTTGAAACATAATAAGAATTCAGTCAACATTAGGTAATATTACTATCCTCAATTTACAGTTAAGGCTTAGAAAAATAAGATAATTTACCCAAGGGTCAAGAATCTAGAAAGTGAGGAGTATGCTCATACCCATGCTTGATATCACTCTACAATCTAACTGTCCACAAATCTCTCTCTCCATTTCACACCCAGGATAGCCTGCTCAAGCTCTGGATAAGTATCTTTTTATATCTCACGAAACAACCCTGTATCCTCTTTTAATATAGTACTTTCTGCATAAATTATAGTTCATGTCTCCAGTGTGCAGCACAGTGTCTAGTACACAGTGGATGTTCAAAAATTGTTAAATTAGTGTTATTTTGGTTTACATATAGCTGAAAACTTTAGGTTCTGTCTGGAGTTCCCCCATCTTCCCTGCTGTTCTTCTCCCAAATAACTATTCATTCTTAAAGACCAAGGTCAAGTTCTGGCTATTTCCTAAGAAAATGTCTTCATATCTCAACAGGTAACATTAAATAGTTTACATGAAGTTCTCTAATTCTTAAAAAATAGTTAATAGTAAAATAGTAATTTCTCTTTCCTTATTTTCATCCTCCACTGTCAGTGTCTCTAAAATATACCATAGTAAATACACTACATGCCTATTTGATTAGATATGAGTTATCTGACACTACAGAAACTATACCTCATTTATCTTTGTATTCTAGTACCTGCAACATAATTAATTTTGAACTACATAAATTTAAGTATCTCTCCATATAACTAAAATTTTCTGACATCTGTGTGGGACACATACTTTCTAAATTTTGATGTACATCAAGATAAGTCAAAAGTAAAACCTCACTTAATTTTGAATAAACAAGTGTAAAACTAACTATAATTACATCATCTTCAACAAATCATAAGTCTAGGGGCAACATAATATAGGGTAACTCCCTTTTAGTTCCAAGAAATGCTTTATATACTGTTAAAACCTAACTTTGGATATACATAATCCAGATGTTAAAATTATAAACTTCAAAATGACATGAGAAAACTAGCAATGATAACTAATTTCAGGAAAATTAACCTTTTCCTGAAATTTGGAGATAAGCTAGTCAATATAATAAATTAATATCTGCCTAGCTTTGTAGTGTTTGTCAACTGGTTAACATAATTATTAAGAAACTTCTAAAGCTGTAGTTATTGGCAAGACAATTTTAATGTAACAGGAAGTGAAAAAAGAGTTACAAGCATAAGTATAAAGAAAGCCCTCACAAATATTTACTCCATATTTTCTATGTGGAAGGGAATATTTAAAATAAGGACCAAAAAAGCAATCTCATATATGTTGCTATGCTAGCCATTCTAATGAGGACCCTAATACTATTATGCAGTAACTTTCCATCCTGTTTCCCTTATGAAACTAGTGAATTGGAATACAAAAGAATAGAGTACTTTGGCACACAGTTCCTTGTTTTTCATTGCTCAGCTGAAACTGAGTTGCAGGTTGAAAAGTCTTTTCTACTTGCTGAGCAAGGCAAATCCAGAGTATTCAAACTAGGGATTTTCATGGGTTGGGATGTTACAGAACTCTATTATACGATTTTGCAAAACAAGTAAACAAAAAAATTAAAGCTTTTTTAGTGCTATCTAACTTTTCAGTTTGTTGTAGGAAAGAAACAGCTAGGACTCCCCATATATGAATCCACATCATCAAGAAAATTAGAAAAGATGGTACCATACAATATTCTGTTTATTATGTTAAAAAAATGTAATCTATGCCTGCAGAGAAGCACTGGCATTACACAGAATAAATTGAAGATTGCAATGCATAATACATACCATTATACTGTTGGTAATGGAAAAATTAAAATTCTGACAAGATATAATTATTATTATAAAACCTATTTATGGAATTATAATCAAGACAGGACTCCACAAACTTTAACCTAAAGGCTTAACTGAACTACACAACCAGTAAACAAAATACTTCTTAAACTCTACTGCCTGCTTCACCTTCAAAGTTCCCCTCAATGTTACTGGTACCACCTAGAGTAGGTATTTATGATATTGACTGCTAAAAAAGGACAACAGTTGCAAACAAACAGAATCCCACCTATAAGAGTAGCAAGTAGTGGACCTATCAGAAAGTTGTCTTTTAAAATGTAAATATATAGTTTTGTGGCATAATGTTTTTTAAAAAATATTTTGATTCAATATATCAAAAATATTCATTGTATTAATACAAAAATGGCTGCTGGTTTTTTTTTTTTTCCCAAGTTCACCCATACTTAACAAATCATCTTAAAAGGCCAAGTTGGGGTGAAGAGAATATTGGTCAGGAACATCAGTTAGGAAACTTAAGTTGTAGTTGCTATTGCACATAGGGCAATACCAATTATATCTTAGGTTCCTTTTCTGTTTTAAGAAAATTGGCCCTATCAATTTTGAAATTCTAAATTAACCTAGATTTTTCTCAAATACAATACAATGGGAATAATAAGCACATAATTGATCAATTTGGACACAATCTTATTAATGAGCACATATCTTTTAATTAAAATATATTTTTTAGATCTTGTCACATGCTAAATCTTACCTATATTATCTCATTACACTTTGAGCCACACATTAACTTTTGGAAAAAAATAATTCTAGTTCCATTTTTACTAATGAAAGACCTGAGGCTCAGAAAAATAAGAGACATACCCAAAGCCACACAATTAATTATGTAATTGCCTAGAAGTGAAAAATATGACTACAAAGTTCATGTCCTTGTCTCTAAAATTGCCTGTTTTGTAAGACGTTTGACTATCCATTATTCCATGTAGGTATTACATTTATGGATTAATTAACTATAAGGAGAACATTTATGAATAAAGTCTTGCTGAAAAAAATGTTAATACTTTGTTTCCTCAATTTATAATTTCTCTTGGAATATTAAATAAATATGGTAATTATGTTTTCCTTACAGTGGACTGCCATACTAATTAGAGGTCATGACATAAGAAATATACTATGCACTTGGTTTTAGAAGCTGGTTACTCTACTTAAATTTTCCAATTTAACTTCTAGAGTTCTGAGTGCTAGAGGTGTAGCTCAGTAGTAAAGTGCTTGCTTAACACGCGCAAGGCCCTGGGCTTGAAACCCAGCACTGAGAATTTTAAAAATAAATTAATTCTGACTTCTTTGGAAGTGCTAATGGTTCTGCTACATTAACAAGTAAGATTATTTTCATTTACCTTGTGTATATTTCCTGTGTGATAACAGATAAGATTTAATCTCAATTTAAACCATTACTTTTACAACTTTAGTATTTCCTAAAACAAAACGCTACCTGTACTTATAAAATGATAGATGATAAGTAACAGAGGAAATATAGGAGAACAAGAGATAAACCAATTACGATTTAGGAGGTGAAAGTCATTTCGCATTCCACAAGCCTGGTTGCGACATTTAGGAAGAATCAAAACGCAAAATATCACAATGCTGTAAATTCCATCGCAGTTTTCATGCCTTCTCTTTATAACTTCAGTAAATAAAAGTTTTTTCAAAGCATTTTTCAGTGCAAGAACTATTTAACATTCAGCTGGGAAAAAAACTGTCCAGACAAAGCTGTTTGTGAGTTCCCTAATAAAAGCTGTCTTTTTTTCTGTAGCTTTGCCCAAATCCCTATCTTTTGCCGCGGGATTGGGGCGGGGGAGGGGCTAGCAAAAAGTCTTGAAAGCAGCCTGGCACCTGGGCCGCTCGGGGCACCGAGACTGAGGTCGCTGCGCACTTATTCACCTGTTTGGGTGGTCCCCTCCCCAGTGTCCCCGGACCACTGGATCACAGCCGGCTGTTCCCCATCTTCTGCGCTGCCTCTCGCCCTCATCCGACATGCTCACCCCACCCCATTCTACATCTCACCTGCGGGGGGGATCCAGCGACCGACCCCACCACCCTAGCGCTCTCCTTCGCCTCAGCTCTCCCAGTGCCGGGCTGGAGACTGCGCCCGCCCGCCCCGTCACTCTCGCCCCGCTGTTGCTTATCCTCCGCCGACACCTACCGCCTCAAGATCCGGGAGGACTTCAGGCAGCGGCGTC